CGGAACGGCAACGGCCCAGCGCCCAACCATCTCCATCCGCCTAATACCTGGGCACGCACGGCCAAAGAGGGGGCACGAAGCACCCACCAGGGAGCCACCTCCCTCACGCAGACGCAGCAGGAGAGGAGGAGGAGCCGACGCACGCGGCCGAGACTCTCCGTAAGCAGCCGGACGAGGCTTACCGGAGCGGCTAACGGAGTTCGGTATCATGCCGATCATTTTCTCTCAAGGTAAGGACCGGGACTAATCTTTCACTCGTATCCCATCTCTTGCGTCTATCTGCATCTCTCTCGATGGCGCCCGGAGCTGCGGCCACACGGCCGGGGACGAGGCCGACCGCTGGAGATGGCCCTTGATGCTCCTGAAGACGGGGTGTGGGGGTTACCGTTCTTGCCTAGTCCTGGCGCACTCAACGCTGGTGATCCCCACACCCCGGCCTGCTTTGAAGATGACGACGCCGGGGTTGCCTCTCGTGTTCAACCCGCGGCAATCCATTCACGCCGGGCTCATCACCGGCGTCGATGCGCCGGGGTTACCCTTCATGTGCAGCCCCCGATTTAATATAAATGGCTGTGTGCATCATGATGATGCAGAGGCCGGGGTCTTTCCCTTTTTTTTTAAAAAAAATGTGCAGCCCCCGTCAACCCTATCACGCCAGACTCACCACCGGCGACGATGCGCCGGGGTTGCCCTTCGTTGTGCAGCCCTCGACGACCCCTTCACGCCAGGCTCACCACCGGCGATGACGCACCGGGCTGTCGCAGCCCTCGGCATCGGGCTGTCGTAGCCCCCGGCGCATCCTCTCTTCATCGCCAACTACCGCTGCCCCGTGCACAGTCCACGGTGCACTCTCCACCGTCGAGTCCGCAAGCAACACCACCATGCTGGGACTCGGCGACATGTGTCATTCGACTCGGCATGATCTAGCACACCACCCCTTCTACCTACACCACCGGCGGTGCCTGGGCAAGGCTACGCCGCACCACGAGGACTCACTTGCGACCCTCTCGCCAGTCCATGGAGACGCCAAGGACTGGCCGAGACTCGGCGAAACATGGAGACGCCAAGGACTGGCTGGGACTCGGCGAAACAGTCCGCTTGACTCGCTGGCGGCGGCGCGGTGCTCGACGAGTCAATGTCGTAACTATAACTGCGGAGACATCATCCGACTGGGGACGGGACACGCTTAGGCGTATCTTGTGGCCTCCCTCTTCTTCGTCACGGGCGCGCATCATGGCCTCCCGTCTACTACACCATCGGCAGTGCCTGGGCAAGGCTCCACCACATCGCGAGGCCTTACTCGCCACAGTCTTGCCGGTCCATGGTGGCGCGATGGGTTTGCCGGGACTCGACTACACGTGCCATTCGAGTCGGCGCAACCTAGTGTGCCCCCTTCTGCTTACACCACCGGCGGTGCCTGGGCAAGGCCCCGCCGCATCGCGAGGCCTCACTCGCCCCCGTCTCACCGGTCCATGGAGGATCCATGGGCGTGCCGGGACTCGGCAATGTTTGTCGTTCGACTCGGCGCAATATAGTGTGCCGCCTTCTACCTACACCATCAGTGGTGCCTGGGCAAGGCTCCGCCACATCGCGAGGGCTCACTCGCCCCCATATCGCCGGTCCATGGAGAAGCCGTGGGCTTGCCGGGACTCGGCGACATTCGGCATTCGACTCGGCACATTCTAGTGCGCCACCCGTTCTATCTACACTACCGGTGATGCCTGGGCAAGGCTCCACCGCATCGTGATGTCCTCCTTGCTGCCATCTCGCCGGTCCATGGAGGCGCCATGGGCTGCCCAGGACTCGGTGACATGGTCCCTTCGACGCGCTAGCGGTGGCGCGACGCTGGATGTGTCACAATGACTCGTAGTAACTATGGCGGCGGAGCCATCACTCGACTGGTGGCGGGACACGCTTAGGCGTATCTCGCGACCTCCATCTTCTCAGGCACGAACACGTGTCGCACAGGCCGAGGTCCGCTCACGGGTAGCAGCTCCCGGTCCGAACGCGTCCATCCAAGCGGCATGCTCGCCATCACCGTTGGTGCTCTGTGACGGCCGTGCGTGCTCATCGGCATGTGGCCTACCCGACGGCGGCCGCCACGCCGAGCAGCGCAAGGTCGTGACTTCCCCCGCTATGGGCGGCGGAGTATGCGGTCATCGACAGATGTGTGCACTCCATATGCCGCACGTCCATCCGTCCATTTTTCTCCTTCTGATGTCTACTCCTGCGGGGCATACCCCTCGCAAATCCGGGGAAGCTACAAAGCCATCAACGAAGTCCAAGCCAAGCCCAATCATGCATGCTACCCAACTCAAACAACATCGACGCCGCTCAATACCGACGAGGCAAGACGGCATAGGCGGGCGTGGCCAGAGCAAAGGCCACATTTTCAAGGGCGTGTTTACCACGCGTAGTACACGGACTCTGCTGCCGCCACACACACCACCACCACCACCATGCATGAGGAATGTGAAGCGAAGAGCGAAGACAAAAACTGTGCAGTTTAATCGAAGGTGTCCTGCGGTACTATCGGCGGGAGTAATTAACCAGAGGCTTTCCGAGGCCCCCGGAAACCAGGAGACCATGATCACTTAATCACTTTGGCCACGCCAACAGGCCTCACCTTTTTCTGTTCTTCTTTTTTGTATTTGTGTAATGTGTACACTGCCACGCCCGCAACTTTCTGTTCCCCGGTGAAGGGAGACGCTTATACAGAACCCCTCTATCTTTTGTATGAACGCATCTTTCCTTTTTCGTGTCAAACAGGAAGTTCGGTGTAAAGAAGAGAGGGCGCCATGAAGAAGGTGAGTTGGGTGCATTCGGTGTCGAAGGAGAGGGCTCCAGCGAGGAATGTCTCGCTATGGCGGGAAACTGAGTGGGAAGGGGATGGTCCGACAGAAAAAGGGAAGTGTGCGTCGTGGAGTGGGTTTTTTATGTTGGGACCTCATGTTGAAAATAACATGGCGGATAGTTCATACAACCACTTTTCTGTATCACATATGGGCTAGATTTGAGGGAGCCTTACTGTTTGAATTTTGAGGAGCCTCTTGGACTTCGGTTTGATGTCCGAATATGCCCGAAGGTTTGAGAGAGTTTAAATATTACAGATGATCTTAATAATTTATGTGATTCATTTATATACATTGTAGCCCGTAGCAATGTACGTGCGTTCTACTAGTGAATTGTAACTAGGTTGATGAATCCCCTAATTTTTTGTTTTTTTATAAACTGGTGGACGATGTAACTATTATTTTCATTTAATAAAGTATGCCACAATGCTTTCTAAATAAACAAATAAGTTTATTTTAAGGAAAATGCTTTCGGCGTGCTGCGCGTGTCACTGTTTGCTGCTCGATGTCTGCTACAGTAAATTTCTGCAGCAATGTCTCTGTTGCCAAAAGAGTTGTAACAAGACCTCCACCATAAAAAAATTAAAATTGCAACGAGATCTTCATTGCAAATTTTTAAAATTGCAACAAGATATCTGTTGCAAAAAAGAATTGAAACAAGACCTTTGTTGCAGAAAAACTGTAGCAAGATCTCTATTGCAACTATATACAAGATCTCCGTTGAAAAAAAAATCTGCAACTTGACCTATGTTGTAAAATTTTCTGCGACATGACCCGTCTTGCATAAATTTCCTGCAACATGAATTGTGTTGCAATTGTAGTAGGGGACACTTGGCGGCGGATCTTTTTTTTAGCGTAGCAGCACCATGTTTTAAATGGACCCTTTAAAAGTAAATTATAGTGCATGTACGTATTTTTTACATTTTTTAGGAAATTGGGTCACGACGAGTCAATACATATAGTTTTCGTCACACACAAAATAGGGGACGTGCTTGGGTCTGATGCTCATCGATCTGCAGAAAAGTCCTTGATGGGGGAGTATTTAAAAAAAAGTACCGCAATTCATCAAACTGTGCCCATAAACTACCACTTCACAAAGTTGTGTCAAAAACTATCATTTTTTCTCAAATCTTTAACTAAAAACTACCACATCGACTTAAAGACTGATTAGCCAAAAATTAAACCTGATTAGCGCAGCCAGCCCGAGCTAGCTAGCTCACGACGGACGTAGCCGGAGCTAGCTAGCTAGCTCACGAGCTTACGACGGCCGGCCGAAGCTGCTAGTTCACGACGGGGACGCAGCCAGAGCTAGCTAGCTAGCTAGCTCACGCACGTACTGCGGCGGCCGGAGCTAGCTATCTATGCGCGACCGCCGCTTGCTGCTGCTGCTACTTGCCGTCGCTCCCGCTTGCCCCCCAGCTGCTGCTTGCTTCCGCCACCACCTCTGCTTGCCGTTGCTCCCGCTTGTCGCCGCCGCCACTGCCGCATGCCTCTCTGCTTGCCGCTGCTGCCGCCGCCACTGACGAGCTCGCAGGGGGACCTGACTGCTTTTTATTTTATTTTACAGGGACCCGATCGCTTTAAAAAAATTGTAGGGACCTGATTGCATTTGTAAAGTGGACCTAAGCACGTTTAAAATGGACGAAATGGTCGATTTATAGACATGGTAGTTTTTAGGGAAAATTAGTAAGAAAGTGGTAGTTTTCGGTACAAATTTGTAAAGTGATAATTTGTGGGCACGGTTTCACGAATTGTGGTAGTTTTTTGTTAAATACACTTGATTGGGAGATAAGCTGATTGTGAAACGAATGTGCATTGCACTCTCACAAAGATGGAAGCATTCTCTGGAATTATAACTTTTTTGAAGAAGCTGACGTGGGTAACAGGGTATAGTTACAAACACATGATGCATTTTGTGATATTGCCATATGTACAGGTGTTGCCACTGAAACTTCATTTAATCCTTGTGCTCAGTCACAGATATCCTACTAGTATGTTGGGGTGCTTTCATGTCTCTAAGATCCAAAAGCAGGAGTGTTTTTACTGAATCAAAAACAACGATGCAAAATACATAGCATTCTCACAAAAGCCATGTATAAGCAAAAGAAAATATTGCTCTTAGGACAAAACTGTTTTGCCTCTCACCTTTTAGGCTGAAGGAGGCGTTTCCTGATTCTGTTGACAATTGTTAAGGCCGTTTACTTGCCTATATACTAGTTTGTTGATCTGGTCCCCGGTGAGAGTTTCATGCTCAAGGAGGGCGCCGGCTAGCACATGAAGCTCATTGATGTGCGTCGTGAGAATCGTTTTCGCATTCTTGTAAGCCTTGTCCAATAGCTGCTTCACTTCCTCATCGACATGGGATGTCTGCAGCCCCCTCATGGACGTCCTCTTCACACAGCTGCCACCATCATCATCGTAGGAAACAAGGCCGACCTGCCCGCTCATACCATACCTGGTGACCATGTCTATTGCCAGCTGCGTCGCCTGGCTTAGATCAGAGGAGGCGGCAGCGGTCACCTCGCTCTCTCCAAATACAAGCTCCTCGGCCACCCGGCGTCCCATGAGGACATCCAATCTCGCCAGCATTTGCTTCCTCGTTTCTTTATACGCATCTTCTTCCTCTGGCAGGTGTGTCACCATGCCAAGAGCATCTCCCCTGGGAACAATGGTGACCTTGTGGATAGGTCGAGCGCCATCCGTGTGGATGGTAACAAGGGCATGCCCTCCCTCACGGTACGCGGTAAGCTTCCTGCAGTTATCAGGTATCACTGCTGACTTGCGTTCACTTCCCATCATGATCCTGTCCTTGGCATACTCAATGTGATGCATCATAACAGCTTCCGCCCCATCCTTGGCTGCCTTGAGAGCAGCGTCATTCACCAGGTTTGAGAGGTCTGCACCAGAGAATCCAGGCGTCCCCCTTGCAATGGTCATCGGATCCACATCCTTGCTGGCTTGGACCTACAATACAATCATGGAGAAAAGGTGAGTCTTGCAATGGAGATGGCAAAGACGCCTTATATTTTGGGACGGGGTGGTAGTATGTACTTTTGACATATAAGCCTCGAGGATTTGCCGTCTGCCCTCGACATCTGGAATTGGGACATGAATTTGACGGTCCAGACGCCCAGGCCTGAGGAGGGCTTTATCAAGTGACTGGGGGAAGTTGGTTGCCGCGATAACAATGATCCCATCATTTTGCTTGAAGCCATCCATCTCAGAAAGCAGCTGGTTCACGGTTTGCCTGTAACAAGTTGGATCTTCCGGGTTTCTGCGGCCTCCAATGGCATCAATCTCGTCGATAAATATTATGCAAGGAGATTGCTTCTTTGCTTCACCGAAGAGCTCCCTCACTCTCTTAGCCCCAATACCTACATACATCTCCTCGAAATCACTGCCACTGCACGCAAAGAATGGGACGCAGGCTTCCCCAGCCACAGCCCTTGCCAACATTGTCTTCCCTGTGCCAGGTGGGCCCACAAGCAGAACACCCTTTGGAAGCTTGCCACCAAGGCGCGTGAAACGCTGCAAATTAAGTATGCTAGGTTAACAACTCTGATCGGCATTAAGAAAAAAGAGAATTGAATTGTAGCCCATGCATGCCGTTTTGTTAGTTAATGATCTCACCTTGGGATCTCGTAGATAGTGAACAATGTCCTCAAGCTCAGCTTTGGCTTCGTCAACCCCCTTGACATCACTGAATTTTGTGCCCGGATTTGGGGCCACTTCATTCACACCGTCAAAACTACATTTTGAATCATCACAGTCATGCTCTTCTTCCTCTTCTGAATCATCGCTGTCATAATCTTCATCATCTTCATCTTCCTCCAGATCATCATGGTCGCAATCTTCTTCTTGAAGATCATCGGGGTCACGATCTTCATCTTCTTCCAAACCATCATGGCCTTGCTCGTTCAACCTGTCAAGCCTAGTCATGCCGGCATAGATTACAAGGCCAGTGACTGCGATGACCCGAAAGGTACGCCAAAGCTCCTTGCTGAACTGGCCTTCCTCTGCTGCAACCACATTCTAAATTAGCAGTGCGTGGAGAATTCATCCACACGAAGAAGACAAGTCATGGAACAAATCGCATGCCGTTTATGCACAGGGTAGAAAATAGCGATTGGTCGGTAAAGGAAAAGGGCGGCTACCTCGAGCTTGGGTTTGGAGACTGACAAGGGCCTTGATGTACTCAGAGAGAGCCGGAGTGGAGTTCTGGCTTTCGAAGGCCTGCACAACTCTCTCTGGATTAGTGCTAGAAGCAGCGCCAGAGTGCAGGCCCCGCGCGTTGTGACGGACAGAGCTCGACTGGCATCTCGCTTGTAGGTTTGCGCTAAGGACGCTACCTGCATTAAACAAACATAGTTATGTTAGTTCCTCTCCTCCATGGCAACAGTCAAAAATCAAAGAGGTCTAACTGTATGTATGACCGAAAACAGGCTCATATACATTACATATATACATACCTGTGCTAATAGTTGCGGCTGCAGCAGGTTCCCGGGAAGAAGAAGTGTGGATCACGTGTGCCCATCTATCCTTGGCAAGATGCCTTGCAGCCTGTGACACAAGCAGACACAAAGATCGATCATGGCTACTGGAGTCAATCTGGTGTGGCATATATAGTCGTATCAATCTGGAGAGCCTCCTGGATCGTCCTGCACCCAAGATCTGCCGAAACCATGGGAAAAACACAAGTCAAGGAAAAGAAAAGGAAGGACCTTGGAGAGGGCGAGGCGGCAGGCCATGGTGGTGAGAGGACGCGCTGTTGCTGGAAAAAGATGTGTATGTCTAGCTGAACCCTTACTCGCCGTCGCCGGAAGAATATATATACCAAGACTCAACGGGAGAAAATAGGAAAGCTTTCCACCGAATTGCTGCCAAGAGATTATATCCCTCACGATCTCAACTCCAGATTCCAGGTTCAATTCCTTCTTCTGTTTTCTATGTACGTTGGTTTTGTACCTCCCTCTTTTATGTTTGCGTTTTTTTTTTTGAAATACAGTACTCCCTCTGTTTTTATTTAGTCCGCGTATTAGTTTTGGTCAAAATCAAACTTTGTAAATTTTGGCAAAGTTTATAAACAAAAATATTAACATATACAATAACAAATCAATATCATTAAATTCATTGTTAAATATACTTTCGCATCATATAGATTTGTTATCGTAAATGTTTATATTGTTTTCTATCAACTTGGTCAAATTTTACGAAGTTTGACTTCATTCAAATCTAACATGTAGAGTAAATAAAAACAGAGGGAGTACACAAATGCAGACGCTCACATGCATGCATATACATTCATCCCTATGCTTGCGTTCCTATATTTATCAACCGGAGCTGGAAGGCTGCGACCCGCTGGTGCGTGGATGCTGGAACCAGCAATTGTCACTGCTGAAACCGGTCTTCTGAGATGTTGCAACCGTGCAAAGCGACAGTGGCGAGTCGACGCTGCTCAACTGGGAGCTGCGACCGGCAGCGATGTGGGACTTCGCTGCTTCTTTTTATGCAGCCATGGCACCCGTCCATGGTGTCCCGAGGTTGCGGACGCCGAACGCCCGGTGCCGCGTGATGACCAAAAGCTGCAATCGGCAGAAGAAACGTTGCAACCAACATGGCCGTTAATACGACCGACGGAGGCGAGGAGCTGCATCGATGGTTCGAGGGATGTGACACGACAACGGGGAACTACGGCAACGGGCATGAAACTACGATTGACAGCGAGGACAGTAATCACGGAGGTTGCGGGGGGCGGCGGAACGGTAACCGCGCTCTGCCTTGGGGCGAACAGGAGAGTGCGTACACGAATCGGAGTGCAAGCCCATTGGGGAAGAAAGAGATCGATTGGCTGCCCGCATAATATATATTTTTTTG